TTTTTTTTTTTTTTTTTTTTTTTTATAGCCATTGATAAAGACGTAACGAAACATTGTCGAAAAGCACAGTGAAGGACACTCGATACATAATACTACACCGTATGCGTCGTGTGTGTTCGGATGTATTCGAAAATCGTATAACAAATCTGCAGATGTTTAAAGAAAGGGACACGTACAAGAGATCTTTTTGTTTTCTCATGTTACCATGAAAAATATTATTCCATTTAATTAAAAAAATAAAGTAAATATATCAAGGACAACACTTTACTAATTTCTGTTGTCCCTATATTTTCACATAAAGAAGGAAGAATTTTCTTTTTTAAAATTGTTCGATAATTGTAATTTGTTACGTGTAATTCGTAGTGACACGTGCATGATGAAGTCACGAAGCGTTAATGTGAGAAAACTACAGCCGCATGGAGCGCACGTGTTCAGCGAGACGCAATTGAAAAAGTGTTAAAAACGGGAGGATTAAACCCTTCGACTAACTTTCAATCAATGTCATTGTAATAAATTTGATTACAGATTTCTTTCATTAATTAACAATTAATTTCATTGCTTTAATCGTTGAAACAAAAAATAACGAGACTTTAGAAACGCCTGGAAAGAAAAAGAAGGAAGAAAATATACTAAAAGATACGATAAAGAAATTGTAATAATAAAATATATAGAAGGGTTAATTCCGCTTCGGTTATCAATATCAAACAGACTAAACACGGTTGGCCATGCAGATATCCTTGATCGATATACATTTTCGTCAAATCCAGCACAGTTGCAAAGCGATATTTTGTTGGGAGAGAAGAATAGAGAGAAAGAGTAAAGAATGTTTAAATCAAACAGACAGTGTACTGAGACGTAGCAGAAATATACTGTGATGAGACGAGATTAAGACCGACATTTTTAAAACATTATTATATGTATATAAAATTTGATAGAGACAGAGGATGGGGCATGAAGCGTGTGACAATAAAGAGGAAAGAGTCTCACACGTTCGAGCACCAACCTCGAAGGCAAAAGATTTGCAAGCGAGAACTTCGGATTAGAGTAGGCGGTTAGACATTGGAAAATATCCTCTTTGGCCTCCGGAGTGCTGGGGCTCGAGTCCTCGTTGTACACGTGTCGCATCAACTCCAAGCGCTGTCTACAAGTTAACACGTATTACTTGCGTAAGTGTTCTTCTGCATTTTTATCCAAGCACGCGTCTCATTAAAAGCGATGATAATTCCTCGATCCGCGATTCCGCATTCTATTCTCGGTCTTTTAATCAATCGCCTTTTCGATCGCACGATGAATTTAAAGTGCTTTCAAATCCTATAGAT